GCAGGAATCTATATCCAGAACTCCCAAACTTATACTACTTAAGAAACGCTGTATATATGTATTATAAACCTGTCTGGTGTGATACATTCGCGCTGAATAGCCTGAGCCCTGTATAAAGGAATACGCTTAATGTTTTATTGCCCATCCCCCGTTACCATTATTGACAAGATATGGGGAGATGGAGGTGAAGGAAACAAAAAAAGAAAAAATTGGTATTTTTAAACATGTGTCGTATATTTTAAGAAAAGATAAATTGTACATTTTTTTTATTAAGCAGGCTGTGTGGGATCAAGGAAAATGGGTTTTAAAAATAAATTGCAAAATAAAAATTAAAATTTAATGAAAGAAATAAAAAATATAATTAAAAAATGCAATTAAAAAATACTAATAAAAAATTTAAAAAAAATACACCGATGGAGGCGTGAAAAATGCACCGCCGCCGCCATAGATCTTATTATCCTGCGCATACCGGCAAAAAAAAAAGGGGAAGCATTAACTCATATAGCCTGATTTACACCGCGAATATTGTACCCTACCACCGGCTCCACCACCATAGATCTTATTATCCTGCGCATACCGGCGATCCGCTAAGCGCTTCTTTCGCACAAAAGCGTCGTAGTACTCTCGTGCGATTCTATCGTTTTTTCGCAAATCACCGCTAAACACATTCTGGAAGGCATGCATCCCGAAGCCTGAGGTGAGGTAGTGTAAAAACATCATGCAGAATTGGCCGCACACCGTCGACGTCTCGCTCTGAAGCTGCTGAGTATTCCACCGGAACGCTCGACAGTTTCGGCCGAGCCTCGATACGTGGTGATGAGGAGTCTCGATGCGTGGTGATGATTCAGCGGTGGTAATCCGTAGCTGTCAAAGTAGTAGCCGTCTCCGTCAGCGTCCACGTACATTGCAACCCAATGCGCTCCTGGTTTTGTATGATCGTCCGTGTTGGCGATAAGGGCAGCGGGTTTCGACCAGTTTCGGGGTATTCTGTCAGCTGCGTAGACACCCGTCGTATGCTCCGATATACCGCGAAGACCGAGGTACAGGTCTAGCGTGTTCATATATGCGGTCCGTTATTTCGAAGCCAGAATTCAAGACGTAATGCGTTGTTCAGAGCGCAGGTAAACGAGCCCCGTGTCTCCTTACAAGCGTGAACGATACATTCGTAATGGTCACGATTCGGTGGGAAGTCCTCGTATGGTGAGTTATCAGGGGTTTCATCCAGATTTATAACAGCCCTTGCTGTGAACGATACACTCGTAATGGTCACTATTCGGTGGGAAGTCCTCGTATGGTGAGTTATTGGGTGTTTCATCCGAATTTATAACCTCCCGGGCCATAACGGTCTGCAGGAAAAGTACGCTCTCCGGACCCCGCGTGTATATGCTCCGCGAAATACCGGCGATATTTCGGAGATTGATGTATAGCTGCTTGTACGTTATACCGCCGTCGAACCACTCTAGACCATGCCGATAACGTGTCATGGTGTTGTTTTCGCTTCTGATCGCTGCTGGTAATTCATTGAAATCACAGGGCGGTGAAACAATCCAGTGGCCTATGTATCTTCTTTCCACAGCCACGACGCCAATCTCCTTCGGCGCCAGACGCCCCTCGGAGTCTTTGAAGTATTCGACCTCATGTGTACGTTATACCGCCGTCGAACCACTCTAGACCATGCCGATAACGTGTCATGGTGTTGTTTTCGCTTCTGATCGCTGCTGGTAATTCATTGAAATCACAGGGCGGTGAAACAATCCAGTGGCCTATGTATCTTCTTTCCGCAGCCACGACGCCGATCTCCTTCGGCGCCAGACGTCCCTCGGAGTCTTTGAAGTATTCGATCTCGATGACGATATCCATGGTCATGATGCTAACTCGAAGGCGTTCAACGAGAAACTAACGGCGATGCTGACGATCACAGGTGATACCGAGTGCACAAAAGATGATGATGATGCATACCCCAAATTGCTGACCTATGTATTTTCTTCGATTGTTTAGCCGCCGTAATCTACGACGATCTGCCACGAGGCGTCGATTCCAGAACGTTGTCGTACTCAGCGTATACGATACAGTTCACGGTGGTGGCAAGCGGTTCGTCGAAGCGTACCTCAATTCGAAATTGCTGACCTATGTATTTTCTTCGATTGTTTAGCCGCCGTAATCTACGACGATCTGCCGCGAGGCGTCGATCTCCAGAACGTTGTCGTACTCTGCGTATACGATGCAGTTCACGGTGGTGGCAAGCGGTTCGTCGAAGCGTACCTCAATTCGTACACTACCGTGCTTGATCAGGTTCCAGTGGGTGTTGCTATTTGCCGAGAGATCGGGTGTGAGATCGAAAACGAACAGACAGTAGCCGCCTGCATAAGCGTTCCTCGATATCGAATTACCCTCGTTGAGAAAGTGTATGCCCGTGCCACTGAAGAGGGTGTGATACGCGTCCACGTAAAGGCCAGATTTACCGAAATCGGTCTGCAGTGCTTTCGAGGGTACTTGAACACCGTCGACGTACAGCGACAAGAAATTAATACGATAGTTTTTGAAATTGAACGGGTTTAGTTGATAGTTGCCATTGAAGGCCTTGTTATCGACGAAACCTATTATAATCCGCTTAGGTAATTGGCCGAGAATCACGTTATCCATAGTGCCACCGTGCAAACCGGCGTGCATAGTCAGCGCCTTGACCCCGACTCGCGTAAGCGGATACTTTGCCGTTGTCTTAAACAACATTAGTTATCGACGAAACCTATTATAATCCGCTTAGGTAATTGACCGAGAATCACGTTATCCATAGTGCCACCGTACAAACTGGCGTGCATTGTCAGCGCCTTGACCTCGACACGCGTAAGCGGATACTTTGCCGTTGTCTTAGACAGCATTTTAGAATGAGCAATTAGAATACCGGGGCTTATTTTGGCGCGTCTAACGAGGAGCGTAGCCTCCGTTATATGTAAAGAACACGCGCTGTCGGGGTCCATGAGGGAGAAACCGTCTCTCGTACTTACGAGCCGTAAACGGAGCTCAACGCCATTTAATAAAAACTTTTCATGGTTAAACACAACGCAATGTAAATGACCGATCAGATCGACCGTCTTGTCTTTACCGACGAATGCCTGCCTATTCG